TCTCTCCTCCTGGGGATCCTAAAGCCTGCTCCCTTCTAGGCCCTGGACTTCATTCTGAATCTGGTTGGGATTCTCATCCCAATCCTGCTCCCCTGATGCCCTTCCTAACTCTCATCTACCCTTTGGAGTCTTTTTGCAAGAGGAGGTCACCCCCTGGCTCTGGCGGTATTGGACCTCAGGGCTATAATGAATTCATCCCCTTGCAGAGCCTGCAAAGACTGTGTGACCTGGGCATGTTACCTCACCCCTCTTTGCCTCAGTTTCCTCCTAAGGAAAAAAATGGAAATAGCACTTTTCCAGTAGGATTGAATATGAGGAGTGAATGCTTTAAAACTTAAAAGTGCCTGGCATATAATAAGCACTCAATAAATATTAGTAGTTATTACTTGTCAGCCTTTGGCTGATTCTAGGCTGTTAACTGTCACCCTCAGCAAAGTTCTCCAATTCCAATCTTTGCACATTCTCCCACATTCTGGGCCATTGACTTAAGAGACAGTGGAGAATGCTTTTTAGTCTTCTAAGGCCAGAGCTAGGGAGATCAAGACAGAATCTAGGAGTTACATAATAAAATAATACTAAAAATAATGTCTAACATATACTGAAAACTGCTGTGCCAGACACTTATTGGACATCTTATTTAATCCCCCAACAAATTCACAAATCTGTACTATTATTCACACTTCTGATTGATGAATCAGACTCAGAGGGATTAATTATTTGCTCTCCAAGATAACAGAGTTCCTCAATTCCTGAATTGAGAGACATCTCTATCTAACCAGAGGCCATCTTCCTAAGGACAAGAGGTGGCCACAGAGAAGCATCTGGATAATGCACAGCTACTTTTTGCTGGGTCATTGGCTCCCCTCCGAAACCCCTCTCTGGTTGCCTGTACTTGGCCATGGTGAAGGAGACTTGGCATAGAGCTGACCGTCTGGCAGTTGTTCACGCAGGTTTTGTGAAGTCACATGTGCTCCCGGAGTTGCCAGGAAAAAGGATGCCTTGATGAGCCAAAATGCAAATTCCTTAGGAGAGGAAAAGTGAAAGTGAGCTTGTTCACACTGCAGGGCTCCAAGGAAGTGACACAGTGTCCTGCCCCTGGATCCTTGGTGTTATGGGAGCATCATTCTGCGTTCAATCACAAGCCTGCCTCCCAACAGTTGGCTTCTTTGACCAGAGGCAGAGGCGACCCGAAGTAAAAGAGAAGCTGATATCTGAGATGCTAAAAGCTGGCTGCCTCTGAACCCTTAAAATACAGTCTTCTGGGAAACTGATGCGGAGCAGAAGTGGAGAGATGGAAGCATGTTTTCCTCGCCATTTTCCAAAGTTTCCCTGGTCCTTGAACACTTTGATAAAGTGCTCAAAGCAGGTCAAGACCAGGAGAAGGGAATTTGGGGAAGCTTATCAAGTTTATTCAAAGCTGAAAGGATTTCTAGGACCCTCTCTGGGGTTTCCAAAATCTCTTATTTGGTAATTTGTTATTTCTCTTCTTTCCCCATCTCTCTTCTTCCTTCTCTCTGCTGCTTGTTTTCTCTCTCCCTCCTGGTCTTGCCTTCTGCAGAATGCCTGTCCCACTGATCTGCCCAGAGGCTCACCTGCTGTCCCTCAATGCCAGAGGAAGGCTAATTTTCCTCTGGCCAAGTCCAGGACTGAGTTACCTGGGTCTGGAATACGTTTTTTGTCAGTATATTTCAGCCCTTCTTTTTGCCACTCCCAGAACTTCTAAATTGTATTTACAATCAAAGACGGGGATTTAAGGGGTCTGGCAATTGCTGGCATTTTAGACCATCAAAATTAATGCCACTGTTTATGTAATGTTGCCTAGGAGAATTTACTGAAGGTCATTAAGATTCAGATTTTTTTAAAAAGACTATTTAAAAGTCTTTTAGAAAAACTGTTAGAAGTGCAGTAAGACCCAAAGGTTTCAAATTTTTAAGTGAAACCTGCCTGATCTGATGCAATCCATATTTAGATGCTTGAGGTGAGAGGCCTTGCTAAATTCAAACCAGATCAGCTGCTAATCCTCAGACTCGAGAAGGCAGACTGTGGCCTCCCATCAAATAGGGGGAGCTGACTCATGTATTGATAAAGTCCAGCCAGGAAGGTAATTGCCGGAAATCCAAACAGGCATCTACTTGAAGAAGGCAGCCCAGACAAACAGTCCAAAGAGGAGACAAGATTCTATCTGGAATCTGTGATGATGATTATATCCTTCCAAAAGGGAGTCATTGAAGTGTCCACACACAAACAGGCCTGTTTCCAATGTAGTTCTGATTCTAGAAACTTCCCATTTGGATTTATTATACTATAGTTCAGTTGTTCTCACATTCTCTATAGGGCTTGTAAAATACAGATGGCTGGGTCTCACTTCCAGAGTTTCTGATTCTGTAGGTCTCAGATGGGGTCTAAGAACTTGTGTATCTGATAAGTTCCCAGGTGATGCTGAGTCTGCTGGTCCAGGGACCACCCTTTGGGAAGCACTGGTAGAGTTTAATGGACAGGCTCTGGAATCAGATTTCCTGGGTTCAAAGGCTGGCCCCAGCACTCATATACTAGGACCATGTGAGCAAGTTAACCTTTCTGTCACCTCAGCTTGCTCACCTATCTAAAAGAAACTAAGGATAGGAATTACACCTGCTTCCTGATGTTATTTTGAGAGGTAGGTGAGATAATGCATAGAAAACACAACCCGGTACCAGGCAAGTGGTTGCTAACTCCAGTTGTGGATTCTCCAAAGACACTAACATTGCAGAGCTGCTCTCCCCGCTCACACAAAGACCCTCCGGTATTCCTGGTTGCCCGTGGCTTCATTTTCAGGGCTTAAGGTTGCTGGGCCACCTGGGGACCATTTGGCCCTCCCCAGATGCCACTGGTCCTGAAAGCGCCTGCACGGAGCACTTTCAAGTCCTTCTCAAAGTTGAGGATCAGAATCCTGCTTAACCTTGCCTTCTCTGCTACCAGATCCGCAGAATATCAGTCCAGGCACTAACCTGAATACTTGTATCAATGGCCTCCTGTTCTGTTGTGCTCTGTGGCTGGGAAAGAAAGAAAAATGGACCAGGAGAATCCTGACTGCTATCTCAAGCACTAAATTTTATATTGGCTGAATTTAGCCACATGAATTTAGATTCTCCAATCTACCTTGGTTTCCAGAGCTGCAGAGGCTTCTAGATATTTTCTACAATTTCATCTGATCTCCCTTATCATTACAATCATAATATAATTTTAAATTAATTAAAAACAAGCAAAAATGAATCAAGGAAAAGTCAGAATAGTTCAATTGCTAGACTTGCTTTTTGTTTTTATTATCAACAATCAAGTTAATGGTACACTCTTGGAAAACTATATGCACATGTAGAAATATTTCCCTTTTAAATAGAAGCATTCATTATAACACATATAAATAAATTTGAAAATCTGAAACATAACTTATGACGCTTATGTTCACAAACATAGTCCAACAAGAAGAAAAAAGAAATCAGACAGACATGCACCTGATAACAAAAATATATACCGTTGGCTGAACCGTGGTCTCTCTAAACACAAAGGAATTGAACCCGTGAGAACCTTATTATTAGATAAAGACACGCCATAGACACTACAAGAAGAGAAAAACATTATACGGTCACGTAGGAGACGGGCTGTACTGATATTAACACGATACAATTGAGTCACAGAACACAGTTGTAGAAAGACACCAAAAAAGTTAAAGCCTCAACATTCAACTAATATCTATATAGTTTGTGCCTTTTAAAATTAAAAAAAAAAAAGACAAAAAATCCCAACAGAGATGTCTAAACTGCGCGAAGAATGGAATCATCAATATACAGTCCATCCACCATACAGGATGTGAGTCCATTTCGGATCAAACAGAAATGCAGAGACACTTCTGCAGACTTGTGTGCGCCTCTTTTCCTTGCTGGGTAGATTTCTCTGCAGCCAGCTGCGTGAACTGCAATTGACTCCCATCCAAAGCAGTGCCAAAGAGTTCGGTAAAAGCTGGTGGAAGAAAATGCCGGCGGGGGTGTCAGGAGAGAATAAAAGGGAAGAGTTGAGAGATACGCGACGAAGTTTGCAGAGTTCGCGGGTGAAAAGGCATTTCATGGACAGGGCGTCTTTCAGGGCCGAGTGGCTGCAGAGATTCAGGAGGAGAGCTGGGACGGTGAGGGCTTCGGATGCGCAGTTGGCGCGATGGTGTTCGACGAGGTTGGGGCAGGAGAGCGGGCGCGAGGCAGCCACCTTGGCCGCGGGGACAGTCTGCATGAGGCGTCGCCGCAGCGGCCCGAACCCAAGGGCAAGAGGGGCAACGGGTCGACTGGAAGGCCTTCCTACTCTCCCTGAAGGGGAGCCTCCAGGGTGGCGTTCAGAGGGTGCGGATGAATTTAGCAATTCAGGAGACAGAGCCCTCAGATGGGCCAGCGGCCGCGTCCCTCTTCCCCCTTGTATTTTTTCCTTCCCTTGGATTTTAAAGCCTGTCGGTTTTCTGTTTTTGTTTTAACTGTCACTGCCTCCCTATTTCGTTCTCTTTTTAATTGGGGGGAATTCTGTTCGCTTTTCTCTTTCCCTAAGCAAGTCACTGAGTTGGTTCTGGCCTCCCAGCCGTCTTTCTCCCTGTCCCGCTCGGGCCACAGACACACACTCCCCGAGACAGACACACACCAACACGCAGACATAGCCCCCTGAGATTCCACCCCCTCCCCGAGTCCAGGCCGCGTCGCTCACACCGCCCGGGCAGCAAGCGGGGCCGCCTGGCCCGTGCGCGCGGCCCCGAGGCAGGTGCGAAGCCAGGGAGGTGTTTCGTTTTGTTTGGGGGTGAAGGAAGGGAGGAGGAGTGGGCTTGAAATGGGGGCGACGCCGTTTTCTCTTTAATCTTATCGCGATTACTTTAGGCTCTCAAGGGAAAAGCCACGGCAGCAGCGACAATAGCCTTGGGCCTACCCAGCTCACCCACTCGCCCGCGGGGACCCGGCTCGCCCGCCGCCGCCGCCGCTGCAGATCCCAGATCAGAACATACTGCTCTTCACTAAGGCGGCTTTGGCACCGTTGGGTCTTTGGAGCGAAGATAGGACGCTGGCGAAGGGACCCCCGAGCGAATCCGGGATGGAGGTGATGGGGCCGGGGCCCGGAGCCCAGCCTTGTCCAGGGCCCCCGGCCGCAGCCAGGCCTCCGGCCGCTGCCGCCGCCGCCGCCGCCGCCGCCGCCGCCGCCGCCGCCGCCGCCGCCGCCGCCCCGCTCTTGCCCGGCTCGCCTCCGGGACCCCCCGGTCCCGCCGCCCCCGGGGCTCCGGCGGGGCTGGGCCCGCCGCCGCCGCCGCCGCCACTCGCCCCGCAGCTGGGAGTGGGGTTGGGGTTGGGGCCCGGGCCCCCAGTGCTGTCCGGATCGGTGCTCTTGGCCTCTTTGCTCTCGTCGTCCCGGGAGGAGTCAGACTTCTTTCCCGAAGAGCCGTTCTTGGCCGCCGCCGCTGCGGCCGCTGCCGCGCGCTCTTGCTTGCGGAACTTGGCGCGGCGGTTCTGGAACCACACCTGGCCCGAGAAGAGAAGACGGCGAAACAGGGAGAAAAGGAAGAAAAGAGAAGCAGTTAGGGCGGCCCGCGTTCCCTTCCAGATTGTTTTAAACTGCACGCGCCGTGGGTACTCCCCGCGCGCAGCCAGCCCACTGAAGCTGTCCCTCCACTGGTGCATCTTTTGAGAAACTTTCTTAGGACCATCTGGGCACGTCCTGGAAATAGTAGCCTGTAGGAGGGAAGAGGCTGCACGCCCCCGAAAGGCCGTAAAATAGAAGCCCTTATTTTGACGGCACCTTATTTTGGCAAAGTACCCTTGCTGAGTCTACTTTCTGAGCCATCCCAAATTCGCCATCACCGCTAGGCCTCAGGTCTCAAGTTAAACTCTGACTGGTAGACAGGTGAGGGGGTCTCTGGGTTTGGCGCCTGCTGCCCATCCTGGCCTTTGAGCCTGGAGGTGCTAACGTTGGGGGCTGGTTTACCAGGAGAGGCGCCACGGCCAGCTCTCGGGTGCACCTGTGTCTCTGAAAGGTTAGAGTAAGGCGCCGATCTTGACCGCCATAGAATCCCAGCCCCTGTGCGGATCTGCTGCAAGTCACAGTTCACGGGAAAATGTATCCATACCTATACGCCATTAGCTCGCCATTAAAAGCTCTGGAGTCAGGAGGTGTTTGGGGGGCGGGGGGCGGAATACTTATAATACGGAGCAAAGTCCGCATTCCTCCCCCAGGGCGCTTCCTAGCCCCCGAAACGCCTCTCCCATATTCCCTGAATGCAGCACAGCCCTATTGGGGTGGGAAACACGTTGAGGCCGTGAATTTAGAGCCAAGAACGCGCTCCCTGGCCCTTCCTCGCGCACACAGCCCCTCCGAACGTGGCCTCTGGGAGGAGGCCCGGGAACGCAAGCCTTCAGCAGGATCGGCCGCACTGCACCCCTGCCCGGCGCGGTGCCGCAGAGCCGGGCGGGTTCCGGGGCGCGTACCTGCACTCGCGCCTCGGTGAGGTCGATCTTCAGCGCCAGCTCCTCGCGGGTGTAGATGTCGGGGTAGTGCGTCTCCGCGAAGACCCTCTCCAGCTCTTTGAGCTGCGCGCTGGTGAACGTGGTGCGGATGCGCCGTTGCTTGCGCTTCTCGTTGAGGCCGCCGTGGTCCGTGAAGAGTTTGTACGGAACTGGAGGACACCAGAGGGGACAGGGCGTGAGCAGAAGGGTCTGGAGTGCGCCGACCCGGGAGCCGGAATGTGGGGGCTCCAAGGGCAGGTGGCGCTGGAGCCGCCGCCGACACCGGCGCGGGAGCGTGGCCGAGAGGAGCTGGCGAGATAACCCGAACACATTAGTTATACACCGAAACAGGGGCACACACGCCGGCATTAGCTGGGGTCCCTCCGCGCACGAGCGGCCTTTGGGCGGGTTGCCGAGCGTTGGAGACGGCTGAGGACCGGGGACGGGGAAATACTGTGAAGAGGAAAAGCTAGAGAGCAAAAAGTTCCGAAAACCTCCATCGGAATACCAGGAAGCCAGGAATGAAGTTACCAAACACTCCCACTCTGGAAACTTTTTAATTCTCAAAAAGTTGACCCGGCCCCAAAGTTGGGGGAAAGCGCTGCAAAAGAATAATAATAATAATGATGATGAATTAAAGAAATCATCAGAAAAATGACCAGCAAAGAGGTGTGAGCCGCTGTCGTTTCTTTAAAAAAGAGAGAGAGAGAGACTGCCAGTAATGAGCTTTACTCTTTGTTATTTAATTATTTTCTAAGCTTTACGTCTCATCGCAAAGTAAATAAATTATGCCTATCATTTTGGCAGCTTAAGATAATTTTGTTGGCGGTTCGGGTGTGACTAGGATAGTGTAACCCTGTAAGTGAATTACCCCTCCCTGCAATCGCTTCTAACGTGATAAATTCTTTCATTTGTGTAAGCAAATTTCGTTTGGTAAATACTAAACACATTTCCATTTTCAAATGCAATCAAGGCTTCCTATATACGCGCGCGGAAAGGCGGCTCGGCCGGCGGAGAAAGCGGTCCTTACCTGCGGCGTACGGGCTGCTCTGGTGATCCCTGAGGGTGCCCAGGCTGCAGGATCCCGGCGTGAGGGACGGGCAGCCGGACGTGGCCCCAAAAGTGGTCCTTATCGGGTTATACTGGAAGCCACTGGCCTGGCTGCAGGAACTGAAGTCAGCATAGGCTGAAGCCAGGCTCGAGGTGTCCATCCCGGCCATACAAGACTCGTAGGCAGAGGAATTGAGGTAAGAATATTCCATTTTATACATTGAAAAGGCTCTGGATGGCTCAGCCAAGTGGAAAAATGAAATAAAAGATGGGTATGGAGAAGGTGGCTGGAGTGGGGAGATGTGCACAGCTCAACGCCTGCCTCCAAACTGGCCTCCTTACTACCAGCAGAGCCTAGTTTTATGAAAAAGCCTCCTATGAGATGCCTTGTCTGAGGTCTCTAGAGCATATAGTCCTCATAATAAACTTGGCTCTTTCCACTTGGACAATAGCAAAGCGGTTGGTCTTATTGCTGGCGCTTTTTACATGACAATAACTCATCCGTCTATTGGGCTGGCACTGGGGAACTGAGCTGTCCAACCTCCCTATCATTGATTCCTGCATCTCTAATTAGAATTTAATACCACACCATTACGCACTGAGCCCCTGATCCTCCCTTCTAACCAGCTCCCTGCCCTTTAATTCAATCACACTACTTGGAAATAATGAAAGTTGGGTGACGATTCTCCCTGATCCAATTTCCCCGAGCTTTTAAGCCTTTTTAACTGATCATATACCTTAGGCATAAATTGAGATAGTGTGTGTGTTTTCCGCCTTCTTCCTTCTCCCTCTCTCTGTCTCTTTCTCAGTTAGGGAGAAGAAACCTTGATGTCATAGAAAACCTGTTTTGTAAGAGCGTTACACGCTCAATTTAACAACAAGTCTACCCCCTGAAGTGCATGAAATGTTATAAAGGACTGGGACATTGGCAAGACTCAGGCGCCCTGTAACATAGAGTAAGTGGGCCAAGGGGGTTTCTGTGAACGCTAAGCGGATTTCTTTAAAATACACCTGGTAGAGGGGGTAAAAAAAAAAAAAAGCATCATAAATTGCATTTCTTGTCGCGGCTTAATGTGCTTTTCTAGAGACTCTGCTTACACAGCCATTTAAAAAACAAAAGAACATCTGAGTAGAGCTCTTGAATGCAATACATCTGGATTCTCAACTGATGCCTTCCTTGCGCTCACTTCTGAGTTTTTCTGCAGTATCCTGAGGTTTGCATTTTGTTGGTCTGTGTCATTGTTGGTTTTCATTACGCTGTGTAACTGGCAAGCGGGCATGAAGTGTCCCTAAATGTGCCTCCTCTTCCATCCCTCTTGGGTCCTCTCCTTCTGCCTCTTTTTTTTTCCGCACCTCCACTTTTTCAGGTGCCCGTAATTCCCTAGAGACCGGAAGCTTCCAAAAAATTGCTCTCTGCTTGGCCTTTAGGTTTGCCGATTGCGGTGAACGAAATCCTTGTTCTTTAAATGCCCAGGCTCCAGGTCGGGGACTTTTCTTGTCCAGCTCCCCAGGCTCTTGGGTGCTGGCAGCGAGGCACAGACAAAGAAACGAGCCATGATTTGTGGACTTCGGTGGCCCCATGATTTAAGTGGAGGGTAATTTTCATTTGGTTCGTTAGGCTCTAGCAGAATAAGGGAAACTATTTCATTAAATCCTTCCTCTCGGTGGACAAGAGGAGGAATGCTTAGTTGAATCGCCATGTGGTGTAAACAAACCCTGGATATTTTATATGAATTAAATGTGTAGATAATTAGTTTTATTGCATTCATTACCCCTTTTATGTGCTCTGTAACAAGTCAGTAATTAAAGTAACAAACTCATAAAGTCTTTATAGGGGCATTTAGGCGTTCAGTGTTTGCCAAACTAAGTGGTTTAATTCGATGCTAGTGCCGGGGAGTGGATGGGCGCCCGCTCTCCACTGCCACTGTGTTTTATTGCGCACTAAACTGCAGCGGACGCCGTAATGGATTAAACAGGGACAGCGGTCCCCCAGCCTCGTGCTTCTCCGCTGGGTGAGTTTCCGGCTGGTTTCAGGTGATGGCGCATCCTCTGGACGTGAGGAATCACTAAAGTCTCTCGAGAGTGCAGGCAGCGGGACCCGCCGAGTAGCCTGGTGATAGTTTTATGGGGAGGGCTGATAGTTTTATTGCAGTTGTATGTTGTACAATGCGTATTTGATAAAGAAGGGTCCTTGGTGACCACTGTGCACTTTTTTGTGCACGGAGGTGAAATGAAAATAAATGTGTACAAGGTTTTACTGCGGCGGGAAACAAATTGCAATGCTCTAAATGGTTTTCCTTTATGGTCACCAGACAAGAGGAGAAAAGAGATGCAAACATCTGTCTCCAGTCTCCTAAACCTAAAGGCCAGCAAAGACGGATGCGAATCCAAGTGTTATTACAGTGGGGATTTGTCTTTATTTATCCCTCTCTCATGAATATGAATCTACATTTGGACCGGGAGGTGGCTGTGCCCACCCCCCTATGGACCCTACACACAGACCTACCCCACCCTGACTTACTGCCCCCCTCTCCGAGGTGGGGGATAGGTTATCAAACACAAGGCTGCAATTGTCCAAGTTTCTCGAGTCCCTTGGACTTCTCAGGGGCCCTTCCTGGCGCTCCCAACGCCACACCGCCGCCCCCAGGCCCACGCTCTGGGGATGCGGATGCGGGGAGCGCAGACCTGCCTGGCACCCAGCTAGCCCGCTTGTGTGGGGTTTTAAGCACTTGTTTGGATAAGAGAGTGACATGAAGCGTCCGTGAGCAGATACGTTTTGGCTCCAAAGCCCACGTTTGGCAATAACCAGGCTCACACCCGTCTTAGCACCCGCGCCTCGGTGCACTAGGGTTGTGTCTCCGCGGGGTCTAGTGCGCGCGCGCTCGGAGCCGGGAGCTCCAGCCGAGCCCCACGCCACCGCTCCGCGCCCGGGCCCGGCCCTACGCCTGACCCGCAAGCCCGGCAATTCCTGGGTCCTAATTTGCAGACAGCCCCAGGCCCCGTTGGGGGCCGAGGCAAGCCGCGAACCTGGGAGTGTGCGGGGAGGTGGGAGGAGCGGGGTTGTTTCGGCAGCTTTGGCGAATGGCTTTTCCGCGAAGACGTAGAGCTCTGGGATCTAGTCGGTGCCTGGAGGCAGATCCTGGGCGCCGGGGATGTTGGCGTGGGAAGAGCGGTGTGCAGCTCGGGAGAGCTGGGTGATGACGAGGAGTCGGAGGGCGACCCGGCAGGAAGCCGAGGAGCGGGAGGGGAGGACCCCGCCGAGGAGCGAGGGCGAGGGAAGCGCGAGGCCGCGGGGGGCGCGCGCGAGGGAGCCGCGGAGGGCCAGGCCCAGCCGCGGCCAGGCAGGGCGCGGGCTCGCGCTCCCCGCGGCCCCGCGGCCCCGCGGCCCCACGGCCCGCGCCGGGTCCGGTCACTCCCCGCCCCGGGCTCCGGGCTCCCACCGGCCTCGACTCCGCGCCTCCTCCGATCCACCGCGCCAGCCCTCTCCCAGGTGCGGGGCCCAGCCGCGGCCTCTCTCCGGGCGCCCCCTGGCGCCCGCCTCGCCGGGTAGGGAAGCGGCGCGCCCCCTCTGTACACCCGGAGACCTTTCTGCGCCAGCCCCGCGCGGCCCGATGAACAGGCGCGCTGACTTCATCTTCCCCTTTGTAGGCCTTGTAGGTTTATTTTGTTCAGTGTCACCGGCCCGCTCTTCACCCCGCCCCCACCGCCCCTGGCCCACCGTCCCCTCTGCGGGTCTTTTGTGGCCCGGGGGCCCTGCTTCTGCTCCCAAGATGAAAGGCATTCGGGGCTGGGCCAGGACGGAGCCCCAGCCCCAGCGCCCTGTTTTGTTCGAGTTGTGCTTTCTACACGCGAGCTCTCCCCTAAAAGTTGTACCAAATGGTTAATTTAATTATTCCAACTATAGACCAACTGCTTCAGCAGCCTCCACCACGCGTCTGGGAGGAAAAAAGAAACCATCTATAAGAAATAATCTAATAAAAGTGAAGTGTAGAAAAACCCCTCCTGATTTTCAACCGGCACAAATAGAATTAGAGCTTCAGCATCCTTTTCCCAAACAGACCTTTTGTCCAGATCACAACTTCAGCCAACCAGCGATGTGTACAGTGCCCGCTATTTATTTCAATAGAGGCGGTGGGTAGCAAGATAGATTGATAGATAAATGGCCACATGGATAGATGGATGGTTTGATCCATCTTCCTCTGACTTCTCTTTCTTAATATGTGTACACGGTTGATTTTTTCTCCCCCTGCTGATTTTCTGAATCAATAATGGAAAGGCAATGCTATGTGGTAAAAAGGGGGAGAAAGGCTATTTAAAGCACAAAAAAAGGAAGAAACTACTAGCATATATACCATGAGAAAAAAATGTTTACATGCTACCCAGTACCAAACGAAGAAAGGTTGAAAGTTTAAAAGAAACTTTTCTTTCCTTTTCTTTGCCATTCATAGGAGGGTTTCTTTTTTTTCCTTGAAAGTCAGAAAGAATGTTCCAAGACAAGGAAACAAAACAGCAAACAAAATGCCATTGTATTGTAGTAGCAATTCATGGGAAAACGCTTGTCAGCCTCCTAACACTTCACTCCTAGGAGGCTGTTTGGAGGCTGTTTTACCACAGGCGAAGCACAATAACATGGGAATGAATAAAATATTAAATAGCAGTGAGAGTTTCAGAGGAATTTTCTTTTTGATTGCTTTATCTGATGCTGCATCCAGATGATTCCAGCACAAGGAGGCCGCCGCCAGAGGCTCAGCTCAGAACCAGCACTTCTCTCAATCAGAGAATAAAAGGACCAGTTTGTCTTCGGATTTCCCCAACAAGAGTTCTGCAGGCAGCAGTCTTTCCCAGTCACCTGCACCTAGACAGGATTTACTTCCCCAGAATATAATAAGAAACCAGCCACAGCATCCCCAAGCATGAAGATCCACCGATATTCTGCTAGCATTTTAGAATTTTTACCACATTTTCCGTGTGCCTAGCAGCCATAATATACATGTGTCATAACAGAAACTCTTTGTATTTCTGGTAACTAACCTCATAGCACTGTAAGACAATTATTAACTGATTAACCATACTGTGTGCAAAGCAGTTAACATGATGCTTGGCACCTGGAAAGGATCCAATGAACGTCACCCACCAGCATTGTGATGATGATGATGATGATGATGGTGATACAGTTTCCTTGAACTTCATATTAAATTCTTGACTTTTGGATTTAGGTGGTGCATGGACAATGTCTTTTCTATTGTATATTTATAATGTATGAGGAAGAGAGTGGACAAATCACAGAGCACACTCTAGTATATCAAATAGGAGAAAATAAAGCAACAAGGTAGAAACCTTCCATCTTTTAGGAATTCACCAGAAGGCATGTATGTATTTAAGTTAATTCTGTGTTTTGTTTTACATTGTGCACACTAATTGCACCTGATTAAGGTGGTGCTTTACTCTTGGATGTAAATACTGTGAGTTTGGGCTAGAGCTTTATAGCTAATTCATAGATGGTGTTTCTATATTTGAATTAACTTTGGAGACACTCCATGTGTAAGTGCTATCCTCTATACAGATGATGAGGTACAGATCCCCAGCACCCATCCTTTTAAGGACATCATCATGGAAGAGCCCAGCTCTTCTCCTCTCCTCCACCTCCTCCCATCCTATGATTAGCAGAAGGGGCTGCCTGTTACCTTTTTTTTTTTTTTTTTTCCTGGAGTTTAGCTAATAGTGGTAACATCTGCTGGACTGGTGGTGGAGGAGACATGGGGTATTTGATCAGAGTCACAGATGTAAAAGTGACATCTGCTTGCAACAAAGAAAGGAGAAGCAAAATTAAATTAGGCAGAGAGGCTCTCTGAACCAAAAAAAGAAAGAAAAAAACCTATTTGAAAAGGAGGAAAACAATAATCATGAGCCCTCACCAGGCTTGCAGGGTGCGAGAGGATCATGAGTTTTAGGACCAGCAGCTGTCAGAATAACTGCAGTAGCAACATCCTAAGGGAGCAATGCCCTTAGACCTTAAAGACACCTTTTTATGCTCCAAAGAAAAAGGGTCAGGTAAGATTGTCCTTCTCAGCGGAGGATGCCTTGACCTGTTTGACTATAGTATAGGTTGAGAAATCATTTTCATGTTGAAGACAGGAAGAAGGTAAGGATGAAACCTCTTGGGCTGATAACAGTCCAGAATATTTGTGATGAGTTTGGACAGAAACAGATTTTCATTTCATAGCTATGTTAAAGCTACTGCCAACAACTAAGAATGAGCCACTTTTTACTGGGCTTAAAGGATTGTATTTGGCAGTTAAAACATACATGCTTGAAATCGGACTCAATCAGAAGGGGAGGCTGGTTTAGAAAAAGCGTTCTCCACACCCTCCCGACCATTGTACCTGTAAACCACAAGTGATACAAAGGGGCATCTCCTCCCCAATAACGATCTCCTAAATTTCTCCAAATGGAACCGACTTCAATAGCGCTATATAAATTGATTCCACAGTGATAACAGAAACCAATGGACAAGATTACCTCAACTTTCTGCTTCTCTGCCTGTAAGCCGGTCGACCTCTGTGTACACTTGCGCCTCTCTTGTCCCTGCTGCATGCAAGAGGACGTCCCATTCCCATCCAAAGCCAATCCCTCCACAGTGCTTTGGAGTCCTATCTCTTCCGCTGGCTCAGGACCTTACCCAGTTCTTCCTGTCTTGGATCTTCAAACTCTCATGCTCATCTGGATATATGTCATTGTCATCTAAACGTGCTCAAACTACATTCGTACTAATAACCAATCAATGAACACTATTTTCTTTCTTGCCTATGCTTCCTGCCGCCACCACTTCACTTTCTTCTCCGCCAGAGATCTTGAAGGAAGTTATCTCTTCTTGCTGTCTTTATTCCATTACTTCTCAATCACTCCATCGCTTCCTCTAATTTGGCTTCCACCACCTTCACACAGTTTGAATATTTCTTATTAAGATCACCATATCCACTGAGTATTTTCCTAGCTTTATCTTCTTTGAACATCTTCATTGCTAAGGCTGTTTAACAAATATTTCCAGTTCTCCGCATCTCCAGGCACATAGTAAGACTTCACTTCCCTGCCCCCTAGAAATTAGATACAGCCATTCTATAAACGTTTGAGTGAAAGTGTAAAGTGTGACTTCTGGCTGAGCCTTAAAGGTTGGCGTCCAAATCTCTACCTTCTCCCCTTTTCCCTGTTTAATAGAAGCTGACAGAGCTTCAGATGGTGGCTGCTTGATCAGCCTGAGTTCCGGTGAGGATGCATGGAGGAGAGGTCCCAGAAGACCCGTGGTGAACATGTAGCGTCTCAAAGCATCAGAGAAGGATTCTGCAAGAGGTGATTCCTCTGTGCTGGGTACTAAAGGGTGACCAGGAGGAAGTGGAGAAGGTGACAGTAACGTGAAAAAGGAGGAAATTGCAGGCAAGGGAATCAGTGCTGGTCAGACTTCAAGGTCAGAGAGAGCATGGTGCGCTTGGGAATCTAGAAATAGTTCAGTTCAGTTTTCTGTTAAGAGAGGAGAGACGGAGGGGGGTGCACCCAAAGAAAGGTATGATGAGAGAAAGGAGGAAAGAAAGGCTGGAATCAGGTCCTGCAGGACTAGGGATGCAGTGAAGAATGATTTGAGAGGGAAGGAATGAGGGAACAGGGAAGCTTAGAGACAAGTTAGGAGGCTGTGTCTCCTCTCAAGGCAAGAAATGATGACTTCCTAAGCCGAGAGAATACCAGTGTAGGACAAACAGAGGTAAAAGACCTCAAGAGAGGTTACTGATACGGAGTCTTGGGGCAGGCAGAATACACCATTCTGCCCGATGCCAGGATTTTAGAGGGTCCAAGAGGATACCTCAGAAGAAAACCTCTCTCCCATGTCTGCTGGCAAGATCTTCACTTCTGTAACTCGGGCCTAAAGTTCTTCATTACTTCTCTGGGTTTTGTAACACGTGATACTGTCAACCGTTCACTCATTCACTGATTCAACCCATGTTTATCAAATATCTACTGTGTTGTAGAGATCAGCACTTTAGGGTAGAAGTGGTTCAGACACTGTCTGAAAAGCAGACTTTTGGGGATGGAGCAGACCCAGGGTTCGCGAGTTTCTGAGCGGTGGTGGAGGCCGTGGGGTGAAGGTGGAGGCCCCGGTGGAGTGAAGGTGCAGCGTGGACAGAGAGGAGAGTGACTGTCCTCCACGCCTCATCCTTTATGTTACGGTCGTAGGATTTTGTGTGTTTCTCTCCCGGGGGTGGCAGTTGTTCGGTCGCTGAGTCTGTGACCCCATGGTCTGCAGCACGCCAGAATTCCCTGTCCTTCACTCTCTGCCGGAGTTTGTTCAAACTCATGTCCACTGAGTCAGTGATGCCATCCAACCATCTCATCCTCTGTCGCCCCCTTTCCCTCCTGCCCTCAATCTTTCCCAGCATCAGGGTCTTTTCCAAAGAGTTGACTCCTGGTGGTATTTTCAAATAAAGATGCCAAGAACCAGGTATCACAGAGGAAAGAAGCCCTGATGGTGGAATAGTAGGCATTCTAGAAGTGGGGACAGCT